TTTTTTTTTTTTTTTTTTCAAAAATTTATCCAATTTATAACGTTTGTCATAGACTTTCACTTACCTTGAAAAATTGCTTGAACAAAATTTTTTTCAATTATTTCAAGAAAAAACAACTAAACAAGTATTTCAAAGACCATAAGATAAAGTGGTTTAAATAGTAATGTCGACAACAAACAAAAAAGGGCACACACACAGAGGAGGATTCAAAGTTGTAACTTTAGTATCTCAATAAAGTCAATTTTATTTTGTCTTATAAAGTACTGAAAAAAGAAAACCCAAACTGACCAAAATGTGCATGTTTCTAAGTGCTGAAAAAACGATGCAATATCGAAATGTTTAAAAACAACAACACATCTAAGAACATTCATATTCAATAAATCAACTGTTTTATAGCAATATTTCTCATTAATATTAGTCAAGAAAAAAATTATTTACATTTGTGGCATTCACTACAAATTTCGTTTCTTTTACTTTTTCTACCAATAGTTATTTTCATACAGATTTATCCACAGACAGACAGACAGACAGACAGACACACACACCCAAAAACTATTTGAAAACACTAAAAAACTACCAAAACAGTGCCTTTTTTATGGAAAAAAAGCTAAACAATATTTAAAAAATTATTACAATTTTGTGTTTCGCACATAGATAAAACATACAATTTCCGGAAGAACAACATCCTCGGCAAAAGTCACTTTTCGACTGGCTGCTTTCAGCATGGCTAACTGAGAATTTGCGTCTTTGCCACCCTCAACCAATATCACTTTGTCAAACCTAAATTGCAAATATCAAGTCTTCATGAGAATCTACCACTCTTTACTTTAAAACAGTTAAACACCGATAACTCATAAAAAGCTTCACAAACCTTCCTGGTGTGAGAACTGATGGATCCAAAAGATCGACACGATTTGTTGCACCCAAAATGAAAACACTTTCATTTTCGATATCATCCATTTCTGTTAGTAGCTGAGAGACAATCCTATAAATATTAACGTCATCATTCTTTAATAAAGTCCTGCGAAAGATTAATGTGACCTCTAAACTTTCTGCGGAAAAAAATTAAGGTGCAGGATAAATACCTTGTTGGCATTAAACAAAATTATTTTCTCAAAATTACAAGCATAATTTTTCGGCATCTAGAATACTTTTATAGACTCACTGACAGAAGTAAAAAGATATAACCTGTCAGTAACCCCGCCAGAATCACCTGAACGACCGCGTCGTGGGGCAAGGGAATCAAGTTCATCAAAAAATATGACACAAGGAGCAATTTGACGTGCATTTGCAAAAACTGTAACTTTTACACCGGATAATGTACTTAACAGCAAAGCAGCCTTAAAAAATAACTCAAACTTATTTTTAAAAAAAAAGCCACCTTTTCGAACATTTGCCTCACTCTCGCCGACGTATTTGCTAAGTAACTCAGGTCCCTTAATGTTTAAGATAGGAAATGAATACTGAGTTGCCAGAGCTGAAAACGCTCGACCATTTGGAGGAAATTGGTCGACAAAAAACAGATATAAACGCGGCAGTAACCATAGTTTAGAAAGGGATGCAAGAGATAAAACATTTTAGTTTTCAGTTTCAAAATTTAACCTTTCGCAAGCAAGGTCTTTCCGCAACCAGGCGGTCCATAAAGTAAAATTCCAGATCTTTTATAGCCTCTGTCATAAATCAAAGCGTCCATACTTTCTTGTAGCAATTTTTTAACTTCATCCAACCCGCCGATATCATCCCATGTTACTTCGTCTACCTAAACCTTTTTTTCGAAAAATACATGTGTGAAATTGATGTCTAAAACCAAGTTTACAGTATACGTTGTCACTAGTATATATATGTGACTGCCATCGCAATACTTTTCAAAAAACACATCAACAATACATAAATAGCGGATGTTTCAATAACGTGCTTTACTTTTGATACACGAATCGAACAAGGAATTGACGCATTTCGAAGGTCAATGGCATCTTTGAGTTCCTCTGATGAAAAACACTCCCTATAATTCAGTGGTTAATTCTGTTAAACATTTCAAAAACAGGATTCTTAATTGTTTAATTCCTCGGCTTTACTTTTCACTTTGACTTGCCCACTGAGACCACTGTGGCCGCTGTTGGAACTAGTGAAACAAAATATTTCAGATATTTCAAATCTTTTTTTTCATTTAATGATAGCTTTATAAAAAATCATTGAAAATTCAATAACCAACACCGCTCTTTCAATAATTTGGCATTAAAAATAGATCAAAGCAATGAAGAATAATTAGAGCCAACCCCCATTGTCACATTTGAAAAAATCAAGAAAAATTCAGATCATTTTTCAAAAGTTATTACCACCAATAATTAATAAGGTCGAGAAATTTGAAAAAACAAATAAAACGATTAAAAATACCATAAAAATTACAATTAAGAGAATAAACCAAACCCATAGAAGTTAAAATACCTCCGCAACTCATAATTCTCTTATTTCCCTATTTTTTTTTCTTGATACTTAGAAGTACTACGCAAAAAGCTGATAATTAATAGTTGTAATTAGTAGCCATATTTTTGTAACAAAAATCTTTGGAAAAATGATTTAAAGCGACAAATTTTCTGTAACAAAAGACCAATTTTATTGCTAATCAAAACTCTAAAATAAAGCTTGAAGTCTTCATAAAATAGCCATTTCAACATTTCTAAAGTCGTTTTTCACCCAACAACCGCAAAAGATACTCTCATAAAACAAAATTTATAAAACCCATCAAAAATAAAGTAAAACAATATTCAACTGAAAAAAAAATAAAAAATTATGATAAAGCTGAGGCAGACTAACCAAGTCACATAAATCTACAGTAACCAATGTTCAAAAGTTTAAAATAAAAACAAATTACTCATTTTTCAATTAAAGTTACTCAAGTTTATTTCAATTAATAAATCGACTTCCGAATTAGGTTTGACAAAAACTCAAGAACTGAAAGAAAAAAAAGCTAAAAATTACCCGTTGTCACTGCTGTGCAGATGCTGCAAGTCACTGACAAAAGATTGTAATTCGGCAAAACTAAACCCCTAAATTATTTCATATTCTAATTTTCTACTTAAAAAAATTAGGTGGCAAAATTAGATAATAAGTTATAATATATTTACTTTAGTTTGACGAGTCATTTGACACAGTGCTTCTTCCGGAAGTTTTGGAAGCTTTTTTGAAAGAAATTGAAGTCTATCAACTTCCGAAAGTGACGAGATTTTTTGATCACAAAGAAACAACAAGCAGTGGGTTGGCGATAAGGAGCTAATAACAGATGTATCACAGGTTAAAAAGATAAAATGTGCTGAAGAACTTTCCAAACTTCTTCTGAAGCAGTCCAATACGCGTTTTTCTAAACAGTAAAGCAAAAAAAAATACTGATGCAAAAAATAGAT